TTTTAATTTTATTAATATTTTCTGATGACACAGAATAGGGGCTGTGCGACGTAGGATCCGCATATATATATTCACATATTTTACGAAATTATTTATTACATATTCCAAATACACTTCACATACTCATACACATTCGTAAAGCAAATAAAAATATAAGCCCGAATTATGTGGCAGAACTTTATTAAACCTAAGTCTTCAAAATAAAAAAGTCACCATACTCTCCTAAAAATGATGGCCGAGTCTGGACAAGCTTGTCCGAGCTCGTCAAACCTTATGCGTTAAGATTTCAGCCATTACATATTTGATTTCGTCTCCAGTTAGATTTAAGATGAATGATGGGGGGATAGTTCTAATCCGGACGATTTTTTCTTTACCAATGCTATTAAAAAGCTTATAAACCTTTTCGGATCTCTCTGTCCTTTTTCGCAAAGCATCATCAGAGCATTTCGTCTCGGGAATCGCCACCCTAACCTCCTTTTTAACTATCGCTTCAGATCCATCCTTGCCAAACTCAGGTTTTAATTCTTTGTATCGTTTAAATACAGCTTCCCCAAAATTAAAATAACTGAAAATGAGACCTCGGGATGCTTCTTTGTTTTTAGTTTCAGCATGATCAATCCTTTCAGAGAGTTGTAAAAAGTTACTTGCGCTTTCATCTATTTCTTCCAAGCTCCTACCACCATCGGGAATATCAGTTAATAATTCTTCGATAAGTTGTTTTAGCGTGCTTGATACCTTCTTCTTCCCACCAGTTTTTTTCACCTTCTTGTTAGACGATTTTTCGGTAGATGATTCCCTAGTACGTTTTTTCTGTGCATCACTCGGATCCTGTTCTATTAGAGTTGATACCTCTGACATCGTTTCAGACGAAGGGCAGGTAGGGCACATCTTGTGAGAATCCTTAATGCAGTCGTAATGCACAACATGTTTATACGGTAAAAAAAGGGTTGGTTTCGTGAATTCTAGGGAGATTTCTTTGGAGCATTATTCACATATAAGACGTTGGATTTGACTGCTAGTGTCCTTTGAAGAAATCGAGTCATCCACATTTTCAGAATTGCCAGGCGTAGTACTAACAACCTCAATTAGGCTGATTGTCTGGTCAGAAGTTTCTTTAGCGACCTCAGTAGTTTTGGACGAACTTTGCTCCTCCCCGCCAAATAATCCTAACTCCTTCATAACAGTTACATTGGAATCCTCATCCACAGGAGTTGCATTTTCCGAACCCACCGGCATGGAGGTGGTGTTTTCATCAGTAGTTGAAGGTTTGTCTTGCGATCCCTTTTCCTTAAAAAGATCCGGAGAGAGAAAAGTTTCAATATCTCTATTACAATCCTTATTCGGGCAGGCCCTAAAGGGACCGCATCGCACTTCACCATCCACCAGATACTTTTCGAGACACTTCTGGTGAAAGATGTGTCCACACGAAGCTAGGGTAAATTCTTTGTATTGCGGGTTCGATGCGAGTGAATAAATATCTTTTTCACATAATGAGCATGGATTTACATCCGGGATATTGATATGCGTGGCAAGGGTGCTAGTATAACGGAGGATATTTTTTGCGAGCGCTACGATGTGTGTTCTATCCATACTGCCCACCTTCGATTGTTAATCAGCTAGAAGATAAGGCATTAAAGCAATTGTGAGAAAAAAGGGTTCCTTTTTATAGCACTTGTAAATATCGTAGGAGAAACATTCCCCGGATCTTCACTAGCAATTACGCACTGCATTTTATCATTTATTAACCTCCCTGCAAATCAATAAAAAATGACGAAACATTAGCATACATACCCCCCAAATCTCATATGCGAAATAAGGATTGCCGGAAAAAATATCCATACCTGAATACTGTTTTATTGATATGATAATAGACATGACATGTAAAAATAAATGCAAATCGAGAAAAATAATGTGAATATATATATGCGGATCCTACGTCGCACAGCCCCTATTCTGTGTCATCAGAAAATATTAATAAAATTAAAA